CTCTCTCTCTCTCTCTCTCTCTCTCTCTCTCTCTCTCTTCCACACACACACACACACCCTGTGTACATGTGTGTGTGTGTGATTTTATTTATTAAACTTTAACCTGGCAATCATTGTGTATCTGCATTCTTCACAACATAATATTTTAAAATATATAAGCATGTGGAGTGAATAAACAGGGTGAATTAAAATGTGTATCACCTCACATTTTACCCACAGTGAGAACACTTAAAATCTATTCTTCTGGTGAGTCTCACATATATAATATACAGTTATTGACCATGGTGACAGTATCATGTAATACAGCTCTAGAACTTACTCCTCCTACCCAAACTGAAGCATGAAGCTTTTCACCAGTGTATTCACATACCTCTACCCTCAGCCCTTGTTGTTCAGTTCTAAGTTCTATGTTTTCAGAGTCCTCATGTAAGTGAGGCCATGTGATATTTGTCTTTCTCTGTCATGGTTTATTTCACTTAACATGATGTCTTCCAGGTTCTTCCATGCTTTAACAAATGGCAGAATCTCAGTCATTTGTTAGTCTGAAAACTATTTCACTGTGCATATTAAGCTGATTCCATATCTTGGCTGTTAGGGAAAATGCCAACAATGACCTTAGGGATGGATATCTCTTCAGCATACAGAATTTATAACTTTGTATATTTGTCCACTAGACAGATTGCTAGGTCAAATGGCAGTTCTCTTTTTATTTGTTGAGAAACTTATATTCTGTTTTTAATAAAGACTATAGTAGTTCACATTTCTACAAATTGCCCAAGAGCTTCTACTTTTCATTCTTGCCAGTGCTTAGTATCTTTTGTCTTTTTGTCAATTACTGCCTAACAGGTGCAGGGTGATAGAGCTTTATAGTTTTAGTCAGTATCCCTTTTCTCCTTTTCTCCTTATCTCATATGGCTTAAACTTGTCTAGAACTCACCCCTATGTAGCATAGGCTTGCCTCAATTGAAAATTTTTCTTTTACCTCAGTTGACCAGCTCTGGTATTATAAGTGAAAATTTTTAAACCTTGAGTATTTTCAACATGCTCGTTGGTTATTTATGTGTCTTCTATTGACCTGTGTTTATTCATGGCTTCTTCTTTCCCATTTTTAATCAAGCTGTTTTCCTGGTATCCAGCACTATTAATGAAAAAGGTTATCTATCTTTCCTAAAGTGAATGCATTTTTACCTTTGCCCAACAAACAAATGTAAACAAAACCAGTTAAATATGTTTGAGTGGATCTGCTTTTGCTTCTTTCTGTCTATTGACCTGTGTGTCTATCCCTACCTCTCCATCACACTGTATGGCTATGAACCTAGATAGTAAACCTTAGAATTGAATACAACTAATCATCAGGGTTTATGTTTCTTTTCTGAGAATTGTTTTTTACCGATCTAAGGGGTGTGTATTTCATGTATATTTCATGATGAGCTTAAATATTCCTAGAAAAGGTAGAGCCAAGCATTTAACGTGAATTTCAATAAAGCTGCAAATCAGTTTGAAAGATGGAATCCGCACTAGATTGAGCCTTTGAGTCCATAAACATAGTATCAGTTCACTAATTTACATCCTTGCCTTCTTATAGCAGCATTTCAACATTTGCAGGATACAGATTCCATGCATAGCTGGTAGTTGTATTGCTGAATAGTTCAGGGTTTTTAAATAACTATAAATATTCCTGTGAAGTTTTTCTTTTTTAAGGTAGTGGGTGCTCTCTTAGGGATATCCCACCAAAGAAGCATACAGTTAAAAATAGACCTAAGAGCTACCCGGTCACGGTTCATGTTTTATTTGATGATCTAGCTTTCTGTATAATGGGGGCAGAGCCAAGACACCTTTCCTGGCTGATGACTAGCTGCAAGTACAGCTTTACTAGGAATCTCATTTCATCTGAGCTGAGAGACCATCCGTTCTTCCCATCTCTGAGATTTAATTTCCTCTAATTATAAAATGAACATAATGATGTTTTGTTGCCGATAATGCTGAGTAGATGTGAAATTAAATGGTGTAACGTGTGAGAGAATCCGGCAGCCAGCCTCACAGTTACCTGATAAGAAAAGGAAGCTTCTGTTGGACCATTTATTCATTTACTATTAGAAATGGTGGAAGGGAAGCTGTTTTGCAAATGCAGTGGCTTAGGATGCATGAACCCACTGGACGTAGAGCTTCAAGCAGTGTGGATCTTTGTTATATTCCCAATCTATGGCTAAGGGCTACTTGATATGGTGACAATTTCTGTCCTAAGGTTCCCCACTTAGGTCATTTTTATAAAGTCGGGTGATAGCATTCAGAGGAGAGGGTCAGTCCAAAGATAATATACTGGCTTCTGCTGCATATCTTCCAAATATCTGGAGCATCCAACCTGAACTCATCCCCTGTAAAGTATTTTGGTGAACTACTGCTGCTATAATAAGCTGGATCTGAGAGATCTCACTCATGCCAAGTCTCTTTCTCTTCCTTTTCCAGCAAGGATTGAAAATAGTTCACCATGCAGAGAAGACGCTGTCCAGCTTCTGCAAGTGGCAAAAGAGCATCAATCCCAAGAGTGACCTTAATCCTGTCCATCATGATGTGGCTGTCCTTATCACCAGGTAGCTCAGAGGCTTTGGGAAAGATAGGTAACTAGCCAATGAAGGCTAATGGCTGAAAGTCTTGTCAGGCATTGACCCTCATGGCATTCTCACTATTTTCTGCTGCTCTTGGTCATTTGTGAAAGTAGCAACTATGGTCTTTGAGCCCCTTGCGGGCTCATACCGTGGAGAGTGCATGTTAGCAAGCTTGTTAATATGACAGAGCTCTCCTTTCTTAAAAACCACATCTGTTGGCAAATGAGTCTCTTTTACTATCATAACAAAGATTTTTGCCTTTTAAACTGTTCTCTTTGTAACAAGAAATCTATTTTTAAATCCTTGATTGAAGACTTCTATAACATTCAGCTGGTGGACTTTGCAATTCTTTTATTTCTATTTCATCGTCCCCTCTCCAACTTATAAGACAAAACTCTAGAGGAACTTACCTATTCTAGCCCACTCCTGGCTGATGCTTAGGATACAGTACACACATTCTTCTCTGAGTAAGCAAAGTGATCTAACTATACTTATCTTCTTTCTACCCTCATAAATCTTGCCTAGTATTGGTGAGGCCCTCAGTTCAGTCTCCAGCATTACAAAGATATGATTTTGTTGTGAGCACAGTGAATCTTATGGTGCTACAAAAATATCCAAACTTTCAAGATCCAGAACTATGAAAAGCTAATGAATTTTCCTAATCAATTCAAGATCTTTGAAATCTATGATTACTCACTGGCTCAGTAAATATTTATTGACTTTCCGCTATAGTTCTTTTTTTATTATAAGGGCTCATATAATAATAGAGGCTAGTTCTTACTGAGCAGCTTATATGAAATTACAGAATCCAGAAATCTAAGGATGTGTAGTAAAAGAAGCCTGCATCTTCTGCTGGGGAGAACAAGGACTCATATAATTAATATTCTACATCTGCACAAACCTACTCCACATGAGACTACTTGGTCAACCTGACATACAGTAGATCCTAGGAATACACTGCTATAGATTTATACCCAAAGCTTTTCTTGGAACAGATTTGCATATAGCTAGGTTTTAGCACTTTCATTTGAAAGCAGGATTCTGATAGTTGAAGTTTCAGTTAAGAGTAAGACAAACATATGTGCTACGTATTTCTTATCATCCTTTACATTAGGATGATCCTGTCGAAATGTCAGGGCCACCTACTTCTGAGTGGCCTGTTTTTCACAGGACAATACATACCCAGGGCCTTCTTAAGTTTTTGACCTTAGGACTTATCTTTGGGCTTGATAATTCTTTGTTGTAGAGGCTTTTTCTGTGCATAGTATCTAGTCTCTGATCTTTACTTATGAGAATAGTATCTCCCACACACAACTTGTACGAAACCAAACTATCTCCAGACTTTGTCAAAAGTTTCTTAGGAAAGACGTAAGATCAAAATAATGTTCTACTCCTCACCTATGAAAACCCAATCTGACAAATTCTGGTCTGGAAAAATTAGCTAACAGGAGAGAGGAATGACTGTGAGATTAAGTTTTGCCTCTAGGGGACCATTCTGAGACTCATGTTGGCAGTGCACTATAGAATTGCATTTAGTACATGGTAGATTGGTAAGAATACATTACATATATGTTCCACATATACAGCCTCCTGAAGTATAGTTTCTTGTATATTTCTACAGTATATGATAGAAATAAATCCAAACTTTTTGTAGTCCAAAATTTCTTGTCCTCAATGATCATGTTTTCACAATTCCTTTGTTGTCTCTTATTTCCCCTTTAATTTTAAGCACTTAGTAGGTCCTCCATAAAAATTATGTAACAGATGCAGTCTCCTTTCTTATCAAGCTGGGACTGTTAATGGATGAGCAATGGGTGTCATACACATTTTCTCCAACAGGTTCCTAAAGATATACACTTTTAGAAAACACAATCAAAATCACACCCTGCAGCCAAGGTTGTAATTTATTTTGCTAGAGACCATGTGATCTATCTCTATAACACTCAACCCTCCAACAGCTGCTGCCAATAAACAAATGGCTCATATCTAGGATGCCTATGAAAGGGGAATGCTTCCCATGCTCCCTAGTCCTACCCACTGCCATTCATGGAACTACAATCTCACAGGTTCTCCAAGTGTGGATTTTTCTGTTACCCAAAGGACATGAAAATCAGGGGATCATTTGTTGCTACAGATGATGCTCAGACAAAATACAAGAACTGATAGGCTTTGCAGCTCAAGTCTGGAAACATCACCAGCATTTGTGCTAATCAAAAGCTCTTCTTGTGCTTGAAGAAGGTCTGAAGACTAATTAACGACTCTCTCAAAACTCTTGTCAGTGATTGAAATAACCTGTTTAGGATCTGAGAGTGTGCTTTTATTTTTGAAAAGCTGTAGCCTTTTCTGACATCCTAGGAGTCTTTCCTTCCCTTTTTCTAGCTAATTCCTGGTAAAAGGGGAGTTCAGGTGTCACTGTGTGCATGTAATATGAACTTACACACATACACATGTGCAAACGTGCAAGTCCTATTAGTAGAATGTGACTAGATAGATAGTTGATTTAATCTCTTTGTGGGGTAGTGGGAGAAATTTCATTTTTCATAGAAAAAAAAAACAAATGAGTTTTGAGAACAGACCTCAGAAAGACCAAAGGGGGGTTCATGTTTGAAAAGAAAATTGCTAATTATCTCTTCTGTATTCAAAGTTCAAATTAACTTTTATTGTCAATGTGATCTTTTGTTGGCCTAATCATGTTAGTCTCCCAAGATGATGAGCAAAAACCACTCAAAATAAAATGCTTTACATTTCCCCAAAGTGTTTGAAGTTTGAGAAATTCAGTTAATTAACAGATAAAACCAGAATAAATCTAATGAACTCAAAGATGATTCCTGTTTCCATATGGACTTTATTTCAGAGCATACTTTAAAGACACAAAGATAGCAATTTATACTGATGTATTTTTACAGGAAGTTTTCTCAAACATTTCTTGGGGTTGTTTAAGTATCTCTGTTCTCTGCTTTCAGAAAGGACATCTGTGCTGGTGTCAATCGCCCTTGTGAAACTCTGGGGCTGTCCCAACTGTCAGGAATGTGCCAGCCTCACAGGAGTTGTAACATCAATGAAGATTCTGGCCTCCCTCTGGCTTTCACCATTGCACATGAACTTGGGCACAGGTAAATGGTTAAAGCAGCAGAAATCCATTTTCCACGTTCATGTGTCAGTAGCACTGAAAGAAGTAGAAAGCAGTTTAGACTGAGTGTCACAAGATTGAGTTTGCATATGGTAAACATGAGTTCACAAGATTGAGTTTGCATGTGGTACAAGCTTGCCCACCTGACCTCAGCACCTCCATCTGAGAAGTAGGGATAATTTCCCAGTCTTCATCTACTCCATGCTTTCCATGTATAACTATTACATATTAGACTCACCTAGACTCCCTAAAAACGCAATGTTTATTCACTTTTTTGGAGGGAGTTGTTTAAGACACAGTCTCACTATGCAGCCCACACTGGCCTCAAACTCAAACCTGTGTAGCTCATGTGCTGGCCTCCAGTTCATTATAGTTCTCCTGTGTCTGCCTCCCAAGTGCTAGAATTATAGGCATGAGTCTCTATGTCCATGTTGAAATGATAATTTTTTATTAATTAGTTTATTTATTTACTTTATATCCCAATCCAAGCTTCTCCTCCCTCTTTTCCTTCCAGTCCACCCTCTCCCCCTCCTCTGCCCCTTCTACTAAAAGAAATGGAGGCTTCCCGTGGATATCAACCTGTCTTGACATAATTGACCACAGGAAAACTGTCAGAATCAACTAACCTGAACCCATAGGAGTTCACAGGGATTAAACAACCAACCAGAGAGCATACATGGTACAGACTTAGCCTCCCACACATATGTAACAGACAAAATTATTTTTAAGTTTACTAATATCAGTTTCCCTTTATTGGTTAAAGTCTCTTTTTGGGATAATGGAGACCCAAATTATTTCCAGTTCCTATATAATTTTATAATACCAGGCATGTTTGTTTCCAAAGTGTCAAACAGTGATTCAGGGATGGCATGCTACGATGGTTAATCTTCCTTGTCAATATGACTGGATTTAAAATCACCATGGAAATATCTCAGAGTGTGTCCATGAGATGTTTCCAGAGAGGATTAATTCAAGAGCAAAGGCCCGCTCTGAATGTGGGCAGCACCATCCTGTATAGTCTTTGTGACTCAATACGAAGGATAAAGTGAGCTGAGCAAGAGCATCCCACTTCTCGGATACAGATGCAAGTGATGAGCTGCCTCAGGCTCCTGCCGCCATGCCTTCCCGCCATGATCTTCAAACTGTGACTCAAACTAAATGCTTCCACCTCCAAGTTGCCCCTCTCAGGAACTTGCAACAGCAATGAGTAAAGTAATAATAATAATAATAATAATAATAATAATAGTCAGACCTTCCATTGATATCCTTGTCATGAGGAACTGTAGCTTTGAACTGTAAACCAAAGTGAAACCTCTCTTCTTTGTTTTTGCCAGGGCATTTATTACAACAGCAGAAAAAAAGGGGGGGAGACGGGAATATGTGCCCTACGGAGGGGTGGTTATTCTTAATATTTCCTTCCATGTAAGATGAAGCTTCTAGAAAAACATTTTAAAAGATAACTTTAGAGTCTGAGCAACATGTCTTATCTTCCCAGAGGATAGAGGTCTCTGAAAGGAATGAGCAAAATATCTGATTTTCAGAGATTTAGCTACAATGTGACCTGAAAAATAAAGTATCATTATAGGGTTGAAGAGATTTTTCTTGGGCGATCATCTTGAGGAATAGCTTTACTAGCCAGTAGTAGGGTATTGCAGGGTAACTGACAGGGAGTTAGAGAGACTCTACTAAAGGAACTTACTGACTAGAGGTTGAAATTCTGCCTGAACTTTTAATCATAGAAAATACTGTGTCTAGTTAAGAAAAGCAACAACATCCTTTAATCTGATTATAGTTGGTATGCCTGTGGAATGACAATATTAATGTCACTAAAAAGATACAAATTTAATGTTTTGAGCTCCTCTTTATACCATTGGACTTTTCATTGTGCTATGGGGGAATCTCAACAGTCATATGACTTAGATACTATTGTTAACCCACCAGTTAGTTACACATAAGTTAGTAGAGCATTCAAGTTACTTCAAAAATATATTTTGACTAGATATGTCACATGAAGTCTGGTTTGAGAATGTTTGAGTGAAGGCTTGATAAAGATTCTAGGTTTGCCAGGCACCAAAGTCTCCCATAGGGAAAGATCTCAGCTTATTGTGGCTTTGTTTATCAGTGTTATGTGCTAACCACAAATGAAAGAGTATTATCTAACAGGAGATGCAAAGTCAGATGTTCCATAAATAAACCATCCCTTCTGCTTCATGGTAGCCCACCAACATCACTATTTCAATGGGGATCGCCTCTCTATAAAGGAGAACAAACACTGGGCATCCTCGGTGTACCACTAGTAAAGAGAATTGGAAAAAAACCCTGAAGACTGTATTGTATCAGGTGAGACCTCTCTAGTCTGGGCTCACTCACCATTATCTCATAAAGCATATAACTTTGCAAAAATAATTTTACTTGCACAACAAGACCAGAGCATTGACCAATGATTAGAGAAAGTGAACATTTGCTCTGATTTTTCCTGAATCTGTAGTATGGCCCCAGACAGTTCTACCTTGCTACACTTAACTCTGTCTGTTAAAGGAGCCGGCTGCACTAGGCAGATTCTTAGATTTTTCTTAAATGCTATGCTCTATTGAATTCTCACATCACAGCCCCAATGACAAGTGTAGTATCTTTTAATATCTGTGGTTGTCAAAAGTTCAGAGACTGAGAACATTGATGACTTCTTGTAATTAAATGATGATTGGGATCTGGAGGTGCTACAACAAAATGCTAATTGTGGAAAACCAAGCAACATCCTGGTCTTAGGAAAAATGAAAGTTATTCTCATATACAAGCACACAGGCCTCCTCAGTCCTGCTATGTAGGGGCAGGAGGCTCATGAAGCCTCTTGTGGAACCATTGGCATCAATAGTACTTTCTGGCAAGTGAGTATAGAAGAGTCAAAATGAGAAGTAACTGCTTAAAGCCTTCTTAGCAACCATATATGCGATGTAAAGCAAAGTTGAGGAGATGTAGCTTGATAAGAGGCAAGTGCAAATATTATTTGTACTTAGAGAAGGAATCCATTGTCTTCCCAAGATCAATATGGCATGTGAAGAGAAATGTAAGTCAGTCTTCCAACAGCAATTTTGCCTCAGCTCTGAGGTAGTCATTGGTTATGACTAGCTAGATATATGTCTATCACCCCTGTGAAGAAGGTTTCACATGCTTACCGCACTGCTCAGCAGAAATGGTGGACTGCTTAGCAGACTGAACTGGGTACTGTCTGAATTAGTTTGCTATTGTTCTAACTTGGATTAAACTGAACACTAGCTCAGAGCTGGACAGCACATTTGGAAATTGAACTATCTTAGGGATTCTATATCCAGTGCTGATATTGCTGATGGAGCTGTATTTCATATTCTACAGGGAAAATGAGGGTCATGCTCAAAAATAAATCTTTGTAAGAAAAATAAAACCACTTGAGGGAGAGGGAGCTAGGTAGAGATGATGGTTTGAGATGAAGTTCTTGGAAAGCAAATACCAACAGAGAAGAAGAGTAAAGGGAGAGGAGGTTGTAACAGATCACCTTAGCTTTTCCTGGACCTTAATTCTATGTGGAAACTCTCAAAATAATTGTGTTTCAGAGTTATTCTACAAAAGGAGCAAAAGTATGAAACATTTTACATAAAATATCCTTCACGCATTTGTCAAAGATGGTTTCAGGGTGAAGGAGCTGTATTTCATCTAGCTCCTGGCATAGTAGGAAAAGGCAGGACATTCTCATGAGGCCTTGAGGAAAGCTCCCAGAAAACCAGTGCAAGTACTGCCATTTGGAAGTCAGCAGAAGCATGTTGAATGGCACCAGTGACATCTGTTCACTTAGGAGGCAAATGTCACCCCTCACAAAATTCAGACCCAAGAAAAATGGACTCAGTACACTTTTCCTTACCTTTTAAGTATGCTTCAAAACCCCTTAGCAACTGAGGCATCCATTCCCATCCATATTTTTAAAAATTAATTTAATATTCTTTTTCACGTATTCACTTTACATCCCACTCACTGCCCCCTTTCTGGTCACCCTCTCCCTAATCTTTCCCTCCTTCTACCCTTCTCCTCTGAGCAGGTGCCCCCTCGCTATATCCCCCTACCCTGGCACTTCAAGTCTCTGCAAGGCTAAGCACTTCCTCTCCCACGGAAGCCAGACAAGGCAGCCCAGGTAGAGGAAAGCACCCAACTTACAGGCAACTGCTTTTGGGATAGCCCTGCTCCAGTTATTTGGGACCCGCATGAAGACGAAGATGCACATCTGCTATATATGTGCAGGGAGGGCTAGGTGCAGCCCATGTATGCTCTTTGATTCAGACTCTGAGAGTCCCAATGGTCCAGGTTAGCTGACTCTGTTGGTCGTCCTGTCTAGGATAGGAGAAGTTCCTATCTCCTTCGTGCTCTCAATCCTCCCCACCAACTCTTACATAAGAGTCCCCAAGCTCCATCCAATGTTTGGCTGTAGGTGTCTGGATCTGTTGGAGTCAGCTGCTAGGTGGAGTCTCTCAGAGGGCAACATGCTGCTGTCTGCAACTGTAACAGTATCATTAATAATGTTAGGGGTTGGTGCTTGCCCATAGGATGGGTCTCAAGTTGGGACGATTATTAGTTGGCTGTTCCTTCAGTCTCTGCTCCATCTCCTATGCCTGCACTTCTTGTAGACAGGATAATTTGGGGATTGAAGCTTTTGTAGGTGGATTGATGTCTCTATTGCTCCACTGGAGTTCCTGTCATCAGGTTCTATATCCCTAATGTAGTGAGTCACAACTAAGGTCACCCCCGTCGATTCTGGGGTGCCTCCCTTATCCTGGGCTTCTGTCTTGCAGCTAGATGGCCATGAAAATGAATGCAAATCATGATTTATTTTAATTAATATTTTGTTTTGTTTTATGTATATGGGTATTTTGTCTGCATGTATGTCTGTGACCACATGAATGCCTGGCCCCATAAAATCCAGAAGAGGGCATCAAATCTACTTCACAACTGGAATTATAT